GATCACTCATCCAATGGCATACATGACTAACTTTAATCAACTTGTGGTATTTTACAATCATTATCCATTGTGTTCGGTGAGTAACTACCTCATATCTTAAATAGTTGAAATCTAATGAATGCACATTGCTGATTTGTCCCATAATAGTATGAAACAACTATCTAGTGGTTTCTGACTCTTAATATTTGTGTAACCATGAAAATAGTTATGGATTGGTTGATTTAACTTTCAATTTTATTTATTTATTTATTTATTTTGTATTTTTCCTGTTTTCTATTATTCGTAAATATTTGCTTTCTATGAATCAAAAGTTAATATCATCAGTTATGAACTGACATCAGATGGCGGGACCAAGGGAAAATGGCAACATAACATTTTGTTTGTTTAAATGTACATTCAAAAGAAATACCAATTCATGTAACTGATATATATATATATATATATATATATATATAGGCATAAATACACGTGCAAGCTTACACATACACACATAGAGAAAAGGAGAAAGGCTACATGCAGTAATTAATTACATACCTTACTTATCATACAATCACAAGTCAACATCAGCAACAAGGGACTTCATCAGTATAATATTATTAGTAATAATAATAATAATAATAATAATAAATATTGATAGTAATATGGTTGTAATTCCTAATCTCATTGGATTCTTGAAAGTTTTGCTACTAAATAACCAAATCAAGCCAACCACTATTATATTTAACCTCCTCATATAACTCTCGTAACAATAGGGAATATCAGTTATAGAAGCAGTGGTAGAAATGAAAATTGTTGATATTTGTAAATTGGTATGACCTTCGGTTTAAGGCAGGTAATAAATCATTGTAAACATTATATATATATATGGATTTTTTTAGAAAGAAGAAAGTGACTAGGTTACAATGAAATTACAAGATTTGCATAGTTTTATCATATGGTGTATTTTTCTTTGAAAATAAATAGAATAAATATAGATTTATTCGGTTACTATCAACTTATTATGTAATTATTATATATAAATATCAAAGCATGCAAACATAAATATATTTCTTATAGATGTACGTTTGTGTATACATATATATAGAATGTGCATAGGGTATGTAAATTCTATGCAAATATGCGGGCATTATTTGTAAGAATTTGGTAAATGTTGTTGATTAAACATGCACCAGTTAGTTATATTAAATCCAACTGTCATAAATCAACTTTGACCTCTATATAGAATGTAGATTATTTGTGTGTTTAAGGGAAATTGACTTTATCTCTGCCTTTATTTATATATATATTATATATAATATGGAGTTCCTTTTAGGTATTCTAATACATGATTATTAAGCAAATTGTTTTCCTTCTTAATATTTACCACAATTAATGTGTTGTTTGTTTAAGTTAAATACGATAGATAACTCAGGTATTTCCTTTTCTGATGTTAACTGGAGAATTTTTGTTTCGTCTAAGGGTATAGTGAAGATTATTGAAGTTTTTTATAGTTTTACATTATAAAAGAATTTTAGTTGGAAAACCATTTAAAACTGTGAAGTTTTGGACGATATCGATACGAACAATGGTAGTGGATGAGGTTGACATAATATTGAGAATTGATTGAAGTTAAGCATATAAACTGTTGGGTATCAACTCAGTGATCTTAGGCTAAAGCATTAACCCTGCTGAAATCTCTGACAAGTGCTTCTAAAGAATCGCATAATAAAACGAAAAGGATCTCGAGTGCCTTCTAGTTTTTTAATGGTTGTTTAACCAAAGTCAGTTCGTGCAATAAAACTATGAAATTAGGGAATGATCGAATACTCAATATTATTGGGTATATGTTTTATGGCGGTTTAGATGTGACCGATTTTCCGCACATATGCATACTTCGCTTCTATTTATGAGAGTTTGGATGGTTGGCAAGGAAAACAAATCCCCAGAGCTCTTTAATTTCGTTGGTTCTCTAATTGATATTTGTTCGTGATAAAAATCACTCTCAAAGTGTACAAAAGTCATCCAAAGTATCAGCTAAATATATATAATCTAGCTTAACTATAGTTAACTTTTTTCTGATTCAATGGACAACAAATGTTATCTGAATGATATGGATACTATTAATTAAAATCTAATCCAAGATTAGGACTTTCTATCGACTTCAAACATTACTCAAACAAATTGGTTTGAAATAACTGTTCATAGATTTATTGGTGATATTATAATGAACCGACTTGAAGTATCACACAACTTAACAACTAAATATATACATATATATATAGACGTACAGGTGAATGAGATCAAGTGTCTACAGATTTTTAGATCTTCAATCAAAATTAACTCTTCTATCTTGAAGGATTTCTTTAAGAAAAGTTAAAAATTTGTCTGATAGATTAATAGAGTTGAGATTGATTAATGAGTGACTGTACAATGTGATACATGATACCTTAAAACTATGAACTTTACGCTCTCTCTTAACATGATGTAATACACACAGAAAGATAGAGACTTACAGGCATTCTGATCATTTAAGGTTAATAGAGGTTCTGAACTCAATCACAACACATTTCCATATACCTTCAACAAAACATTGTTTTCCAATATGAGGTTGTGGGTACTGTAGAATATTTCTAAATTAAATCATGAACCGACCTAGGTTAGACAGTCATCGAAATCCTGAAAGCACTGAACCGCTGTTTCGTCCTTGTGTGGGACCCCATCAGTGCACACCCACGAACACACTCGGGAGCCGAACGACTAACCTCTAGACCACTGACATGACGATCCAACGATATTAATTTATAACCTCAACCAATCCATGATATTGCGCGACCATCTTCCATTGTGTTCGGTGGATAACTGACTTGCACCCAACACGGGATCGTTCACTAGAAATCCGGGGATTTCCTCTCTCTTATGTGTGGGATAGTAGATGCGCACTGATGCAGAATCACATACTAGAATGAAACGGCTGCTCGATGCTTCCATATTAATCATATTTGAGTCAAAGATCTCTACATGAAGACAAAGAATTCGAAGAAATAAACTTGTAACTGTTTTAAAATATGACAGTATTTTGATTATTCAATTTTTTACTTCTTAATTGTATTTAAGCATAGAAATGAATATTTTCATATTGAGATTTCAGAAAGAAAGTGTACTGTGATATCGACTTATGTATGACTAGTGGCTACAATGCATACCTAATCGGGATTCAGGACTAGATAACGTGACAATAACTACCTATCGATAACTGATTGGTGTAAGTATATCAGCCATGTAGGAGATCAGTTGTAGTCTCAGTGGCTCAGTTGTAATCTATGTGATTGTAACTCTAGGTTAGTCAGATTTGAATCCCTCATCGATTAACGATTTCTTCAATATTTCAAATATAGTTTATGAATGTTACCCGGTATGAAATATCATTTGAAGTTTTGCTAATAATTCCTACTAAAATGTCCGTAATTTAACTAATACACTTGATGGTTAAATGAGTTCTACTTGTATCTAAGACAAGAGAATGAAGCATACTACAACTGTTAAAAATAAACACATCTCTTGTTCTATCGTTTTTACGATATGACTCAGTATCTTTGCCATGGAATAAGAACTATAACTGAAGAATCCTCTGTTCTTTTGATAGACAGACTTAAATTTAGCACGTGATGTGCACATACACACACGTTAACCAGATATACAATAGTCAAACATCCATATTAACAAAATCATACATAAATATTTACATTGTTATTTCGATAAAACTAGTGTTAGGATGAAGAAATAAGGAAAGAGAGAAAAAAACCCTTTATATACGCATTAGTAATCAGATCAATTCATTGTGAATAATTCAGGTGATTTTCACATATAAACAAAGTACTGTAATCAAGATTATAAACAATAACAACAGTAATATACAAAAGAAAACTATTTCAGGCCACCATGATAGACACTAACAGAATTTGACTCATCTCAAAGTGTTTATGTTGTTTTTCCAATAAACTACTCTTTAAAAAACAAAACAACAGATTAATGGTTTATTTGTATAAGTATTGGGAAAATATATGCAAATTAAGTTATGAAAACCATGATTCTCCCTTTTTTTTAAAAAAAAAAAAAGAAAAACAAAAAAAGAAAATTAAAAATTCTATTTGGAATTGTTTAGCTGAGTGAATTTGCATCCCATTGGTCAATTCTAGATAGATAGGTAGATAGATAGACAGACAGACAGACAGACAGATATAATCATCGTGGAGCCTAGTATAGATGTATACGGTGGTCCAATCTCCCAAATGAGGATCAGTGCAATGAGATGGAAAATAACAATATCATTGTAATAGATTTAATAGGTGACTAAATAATTTTCGGCCATTAAACTTCAAATAAAATAATTAATTAGTTCAAGTATAAAAAAGCGTTTGTAGGTTCATAGGTGAATTTGGGATTATAGGAACTTATATTAAAACTGGCCAAAAAATTGACAATTAACCAGTTGTATAGAAAAACATTAAGGTGTCATGAATAGATTTATAAATTTTGCTTAGAGATTTTTCAAAATATTGATTGACTAACAGTTATTTTAGGTACATTCGAGACATTCAGAAAATTCGTTACGTAATTATAAAACGTCTCCGAACAGATAATGATGTTCTCATTCCGTATTACTATTTATCAAACTAATGAATTATTATAAAGGAAAATAACACTTTAATTTGATTCTCATCAGAAAATATATTCACTTATTGTCAATTAATAGTCTCGTGAAGATTGTTGAATTTTCTTATTTCATATCGTAGACTAACTTTAGTCAGAAAATCGTAAAAATCATGGAGTACTGGAAAACTTTTTCGTCCTGGTACGTACTCTTCAGCAGTATGCACTCATGACCCCACTAGGGATGGAATGCAGGATCTCTAGTTTCATGGTGAACAATTAACGGTTTGAACCATTAGATCGGTGTCCAATAGTACAATTTCAATGTCAAACAATTTATTTTTGTATTTTTATGGAAATATCTTACTTACCTTGTTTTAATAAATAATTTCCAACCAGTAAACAAAATGAATGAAGAATAAACGTAAGAAGTGTTTATCCACTAGGAGACTGTCAATACTGGAAGAAGAATATGGCAACACTGACGGTGACCGTAACGGTGACAATAGTAATGGTAATCAACCTGTCATTTTTAAAATAAATCAAGAACAAACAAGAAAAGGGGTTTAGAGAAGATAAAAATAAATCAATAAATAAACATTATCCTCATTGATTATCTTTGCTTTCATGTTTACCCTTTCAAAACAATTTTTATTAGCATTAATTATTTACTACTAACTTAAAACAACATTTGAGTGAGTGAATGAGTGAAGATATTATTTTTCACAGAAATTTATCAACGAAACTAAATATGAGATTTAATTGCAAAGAAACTAAACAAACTCTTCTAGGTAGGAGGGGAAGACAGATGTTGGATAATTTGATATTACAGTTATTATCATACTAATTATTTTTTATTTTTCTGATTAGGAAATATCAATAAATAAATAAAACGAATAAACAAATGATTATTTCTGACACAAAGAGGAAAACAAGTAGATTTGAAGTGACAGGACTATAATTTATGAACGAATTCAATCAGTTTTAAAAGAGCGCCTCTTGGATTTTTATGCGAAAATCACTCATTCAAATGGTTAAATAACATTCTGGCATTAAAGCTGATTAGATTGTGGTTGGAGGTAGTCGACGGGAAACCCTGGACCCGGGTTTCATGCTTCTTGGCACTCGTCAGCAAGGTGTAACTGTAATCTTGAGGGAACTGGTGCTCTCTGGCGGATTCGATCTCGTGTCACCCAGCTTCACAGTCAGAGACGTTACCACTGAGCTATCCAGGCCGCAACTGACCTCCTGTAGGACTGAGATGTAGTCACAATTGATTGATCAGTGGGTGGTGATCAATGTCATACGTGTCTAGTCCTTATTAGTGCAGTGTCGAGTCACCTAGATTGGTGGCCACATTGCAATATGATCGATAGCACTCGATCTGCACTAATAAGGACTAGACACGCATGACATTGATCGCCACCCAGTGATCAATCAATTGTGATTAAAGATTATGTAAATTCCTGATGTAAACCTTAACTGTAACTTGTAACACTAACGTATAACCCTTAATCGTCAATTTAATTTCTCGCACTAATTCATAACTTTACTTTGAGCCTCATAAATTGGTTTGAGTTCTTCAAGGTTAGTTCAATATTGATCAAAAGTAATACATCAATTATAGTCTCTCTTCTTCTTAGAAAAATAACGGAACATTCAACAAGCATTGCTGTTAAGTCATTCAATGTGCCCAGTACTAATTGTTATTTGATGAAAGAATAATAAATTGTTGTCATTAAAAATGTTTATTCCTTTAGTCAGAAAGTAGGTAGTATCGTAGACGTTAGTACCATGTCAAGCCCACATAGATTATCCTAACTACTGGACAGACCGATTTATTCATTCATTTTGAGTCACATTTTGACCTTGTTAATAACTCGCTTATTAGCCTTGAGTGTATTATATGAGAGTATGTGTGTAGCGCTCACCCTAGCTACATGATGATATTACGTTATTCACCAACCTACAAACACTGATATTGTCAAGTACTGACGATAATCCAAATAATCTCTCTCTCTCTCTCTCTCTATATATATATATATATATATACTCCTGTCCTGTCAATTCATGCATACAAACATACATGAATAGACAACAGAAGCAACAGTTGGCAAGCTTCAATAATGCTGTCAACATCCTACATGGTGTTGATGTTCTTATTAATGACAACAGTACCGATTAAAAAGTACAAAATACTCATAAATAATCTTGAAGGTGGGAGATAGATAGAGGAGGGGATTTTTTACATTAAGTATCATTTTCTATTTGATTTCTTGTTAGTTAGTGAAATTTTGACTACACGTCCTGCTATTTATATGCTTTTCTTAAACCATATCACTACAACATAAAATTCCTTCTCCCATCTCACTGTTTCTCCCTCTCCTTCTTTCTCTCTCGCTATCTCTTTCTATCCATTTTTTACTGTCAGTTGGAATTTATGCACACAGATTTTCAGTTTTGTTTTTTCTTTAAAGGTGAAGTAACGGTTTAACAACTAAATAAAACCATTTTTCAGCACATCAAAATGTCATAGTTGTATATGTGTTTATATATATATTACTAAATTACAATTAATCTAGTAACGGTTTCGAAATCCTCTACTGCTATAATGATTCTATTTAAGTGCAATATCACTCATTGGATAATAATCAAATTCATATTATTATACTCTTAATCTTGATCAAGTCTTATTACATTTTAATTGTGAATGTGCAGATTATTAAAAGTGAACCAATCAAGATCTTGCATTATTCAGTAAATACTAATGTTTCACTATATGGAGAAAAACAGCTTGTATGTAATAACTAATCATTTTTAAGCAGTACAGTAGTAATGATCAATTCTAAATAATTTATAACATTTCAATATCGGTTCAACTTTTCATTAATTCACTTGTTCATTTTGTAGATCGGGTTAATTTCTATTATCTGATTTACAGAAATACATGAAAGCAAATGACTTTATGTACAATATTATAATTTAGTAGCCAAGTACCAATTCACATACTTAGCTTAGAGTTATACAAGCTTTCGTAAAGGTTTATGATATTAACCGTTTGGTCTAAACCAACGTAATTTAAATAGAGTTGACACATACAACTCTGATTGAAAATCTATAAGCTGTCACATTTCTTCTTTATGTACTAACATTTGAGTCTAATTAAACAATGTTAGATTATTAGAACAATGAACAAAATCTAGTATTTTTGTCTTCAAAAGTATTCTATATTCTTATTATATTAAATTTATAGTTTATATCATCAGTGTATCTTTGATTTTTCAACAATTGTCAAAGACCATTTCATGAGATATGAGTTATGAAATCCAATTACCTGAATAAATATCTCTATGGTTAATAACACCATAATTCAGTGAATATAAATGAAATACACAAGTTCTGTTAAACTTTCCAACTAAATATTATTCATAGATTGAAATCATGAGTCAATCGAAGCTAGACCACCATGGAAAACCTGGAAGCACTGGACGGCCGTTCCGTTCTAGTATGGGATTCCTCAGCAGTACGCATCCACGATCCCACACCCCACGAGATTCGAACCCAGGAGCTATCAGCCTCGCGCCAAGCACTTAACCAACTAGACCACTGAGCCAGCCGGCATCCGATGGTGTTAATGTCTAACTTCAACCAATCCACGAAGTTGCGCTACCGTATACCATTGTCTTCAGTGAGCTGATAGGTCCTGGGTTCGAATCTCTGGGGGTGCGGGATCGTGGATGCGCACTGCTGAGGAATCCCATACTAGGACGAAACGACTGTCCAGTGCTTCCAGGTTTTCCATGGTGGTCTAGCTTCAATTGACTCATGATTTCAATCTGTGGAATTTCTAATATCTCCACAAACCCCTTCTGACAAATGTTATTCAGTTTGTTTTTCCAACAAAAAAAAATAAACAAAAAAAACAATCCCATATGATGACTCATCTGAATTGTCTATGTTCAATATTGTCCTATTTAATGGACAAGTTAAAATCCATTATTTAATCCAGCCAGTCAATCAGTTGCCCAAATCATGAATGGATTAACCAATTAAATTCCTGAAACATTTTCTCTCGTTTCTGTCATATCTAGTGCATTACAAATTACACTGCTGTATTACTTGACTGTAAATTTGGATTTCAATTTGTTGTTGTTGTTGTTTTTTTTGGTGCTTTTTTTATTATAGAAAACTAGTTGTCTAAACGAGGCAGAAAATTAATTAACTATCTTATAATGAGTCAACTTCTCTTAATAAATTTATCCCCCATGTTAATCACAGACTATCACACACACCAATGCATACATACATATTATCACACGCTATTTTGTCTAAATTATTGTTACTGTATGGAAAATAAAGATTAAAAAAAAGAAACGACTAGATTTTTCATGACTCAGTATGTCAAATTTCGGTTGGAATATATTCGTTTGACGTTTATTCTCCTTTCATATTTTCATCTCCCTCTCCATCTCTCTTTGCTCCTTATTTAATTTACCATACTTTCCTGTTTCGTTAGCCTAGTAAAACGGTTCAATAAAATATATATATCTACAAATGTATAAAGTCAAATGAACAATTTGTTTTGCATTGCACCCTAGACGCTTTGAAAGGCCATAACTAAGCCCACAAATGAAGATTATTAAAAGTAGGCGCTCGCTAGCTAGCTCATACACACACACACACACACACACACAGAGACATGCAAATAGAAAATGTCGTTTTTATGGAACAATGAATACAAAACTAATCATAGATGATATATTGTTTCTCGTCTTTTTTTTAACATTTATAATTGTATATCCGAAACTTAAGAACAAGTAGAAATCCATACAGATACACATATACAAACATACATGCATAAATACTATCTGGAAGACAAGTTTAATCCGCTTGTTGACATGAGAATCGAATATGTGAATTGTTTTAAAGGGATGGAAAAGTTCTTTATCTCAGTTCTTTTCCGCCTTGAATCATTGTTTCCAAAATTTAATTTAAGTGAAATAAAAAATTCGAGAAAAGATGTAAAGTTGAAACAAATCTCTGAGACGACGGTAAATAAAAACTGGCAAAGAATCTTGTAAATTAATCACTGAAACAGACTGGTATTGAAGTAGGAAATGATGAGTAAATCTTCCCGGTGAAGTAATACATTGTAATCTATTGGTTAAGCTACATAACCGTTGGACACTGTTGTTATTACAAGTTTTAAATCAGCTAACAAGCTGGTTTCCCATCCAACCGCAATAATTTTATTACGTAAAGTGAGTCAGTAACTGAGGCAGCATTCGTACTCCGAATACACTAATTTTAGTGATAAAGTCTCTGGCTGTGCCAATGAACTATTTTTGTTATGGCTTAGTATCACATAAAAATCTGTTCATAAACTCGATAGCTTCATTCCAGTTTATAATTCTTCTCTCGTATGAGCCCAAGAACTTCTAGTACTGTGACAGTAAGGTAACCTTTAAATTACTGAGTTAAAATTCATTGATCGCTATTCATAATTGTAAAGTTAATCGAACC